TTCTTTCATGACTTATTCGTTTTTTTCTAGATACATACAAATGTCCTCGAAGTACTGAGAAACCCTGTATGTATGTATGTATCTATCTATCTATCTTTTATTTGATTTATTCAGTTATAGTATTGCCATGTTTTACCGTCTGTTCAGTATGATTAACAACTTGATGTTTGCACATTTTTAATTTTACCTAAAATGCTATAAACGCACAGTGAAAAAATATTTTGAATTTATGGAGGTACTGCATAGACATCCACATATAATTTAATTCACTGAAGCTGGTCTAAGATGTGATGGAAAGTAATTGGTAAAATAAAAATTCTTTGAAAGAAAATTTAGGAATTTTTCTCGATCAATTTTCTACAGCCACCAAGAAATTAATTTTTGGACTTGAAAGAACTAAAACTAAAATAAATAGATATAATACGTCTAAATTATTTAACCAAACCTGCTTGAATGAAAAATATGCTGACTATATATGTATATATATATATATATATATATATATATATATTGATGCATGTTTCATTAAATAATATAGACAAGTTTTGTCTATTTATTTTAAGTAAGTTCCTTTCATATTGTCTGATAAGCTTAATAACATTATCATTGAAAGACGAAAGGAAATCATCCTATTGATACATGTTTTAATCCTATCTAAGCTTTCGGCTTACATAAGTCATTATCAAAGATGACAAATACATTTCAATATATTAAACAATACACGGACAAAACAATGATGATAGTCTGTTTTCGTTGCATGAAAAATTTCAAATCCACGACAAACTCATGTATACGAGACGTGGAAGCGAAAATAGCATCGCAGCTCGTGACGTCACACATGACTACGCGTGAGTGAAAACGAGAAGTATTAAGCATGCTTTGAAATTTTTCATGCATCAAAAACAGACTATCATTATTGTTTTGTCCGTGTATTGTTTGATATTGATATATTGAAAATATTGTTAGAACCAAAGAAAGTGTCCTTCACTGTTACGTAATGTCCGTCCTCGAATGAAGTTCCAGAGACAATGGGAACAAATACGATTCTTATCATGAAGAGTCCGTTAACATTTCTTGGGCTTTTTTAGGAAATAGAATTTAGAAAATTTTATACCAAGTGGCAATTTGAAGATAAGAGAGTCAAAGGAAACCAACCTTGGGAAAAAAAATGGCAGAGCAGCGTTTGGGAGAAATGACAAAAAAAAACAGTTATTAAAAGCTTCAAATACAGGAAATTGTGGAGAGACATTATCGCCAACGTCTTGAAGGGATACGAGAGAGAGAGAGAGAGCGAGAGAGAGAGAGAGAAGAAGGAGGTGAAAACACGTATGAATAATAAAAAAACAAACAATTATTTCATATATTTCTACTCTGCTACAGAAAGACCCACAAGGAAAAAATCAATTTAATAAGTCAGTGTCAATACAGATATAAAACAACACTTATAATGAATTTGTTCAAGCAAGGGAAACTAATTTCTTTTTCACACGCATTATTTTATAAATATATGAGCAATATAAAACAAATACTTATCAGCAAGAAATCCAGAAACCATGACATGAGCGATCAAAACCCATTTAAATATATAAGTCTTCGGTACACGACACTTAACGATTCTTTAAATATTTCTAATTTTTCACTTTTTACAAAAAGATTAAAACATCTAATCTAATCATTCCAGTCGAATCCATTATATTCACTTACGCGATAATACCCTTGGGAAAGGTATTAACCCCCTTTTTCTCCCTCCAACTATGCGTAAATAGCAGGACAGACTCGTTTTTTTAGCCTTTTGGGGGGACCTTGTGGTACGTAGTGCACCAGGTCTCTGCATTCAGCCCTTCAAAAAGTGTGGTTGGTTCTGCACAAAGCCTTCACGACTATAATCAAGCCACTAAAATCAAATCATATGCGCTGGTGTCTGGCTGTCAGTTCCTAGGAACCGAGAGGCCACTATATATATATATATATATATATATATATATATATATAATGGATTCTCCCGTCGTATTCGACGTATGAGGGTCCCCAAAAATATATATAGAGTGGACTTTCCCGTCGTATTCGGTGTATTCCATTCGAATCCATTACATTCACTTACGTGATAATACCGTTGGGAAAGGTGTGAATCCTCTTCTTCTCCCCCCAGCTATGGGTAAATAGCATGACAAACTGGGTTCTATAGCCTAGGATGGCAACTGGTCTAGGAGAAGAACAACTCTGAATTCACAGATTGAATACTAGAAGATTAAGTTTCAGGACAAGAATCACTAGATTTAGGGTTTTCAATTATTAAAAATGTAAAAAAAACAACAAAAACAAAAACTGGAACAACATTTTTAACATGAAGGTCATTAGTTGGGGGGGTGCCTTTTTGTTATATAGGAATAGTTGCTGCCGACGCTTGAGTTTGAACATAGATCGCCAGTGAGCAAACACAGGCGATCTCTCTATTGAATAAAGTGGATCACGTGACCATAGAGGAAACGCATATATAGGAAGCCACGTGACGTCTTGATCGATCGCTAGTTCTAGTCCATCCTCTATACTATACGGATCTCATTTCTAGTCTATCCTCTATTACTATTTGAAGGCACTATGGAGCGGCTCGGATTGAAGAATCGCAGTCCCGAGTTCGAATTCCAGTCGAATACATTACATTCACTTACGTGCTAATACCCTTAGGAAAGGTATGAATCCCCTTCTTCTCCCCCAGCTATGGATAAATAGCAGGACAGATCGTGTCCTATATCCTTGGATGGCAACTGGTCTACCGAAGAAAGAAATGGCAACCAACTACAGGAAAAAAAAATTTCCTCGTCAGTCATGTATCGAAAGATACATGATTGCCTAAACGTGTATCCCTCATGGCACATAACTGACTGATTAAATCGAACATTACCAATAACACAGGATCTTACCTATGAATTCTGGTGTCCGTTAAGTGATTTCATCTCTAATACCAATACTTAAAAAAAAAAAAGAAAGAAAAAAAAACAATATTATATTCTTATATTAGTCACGAAACTACCACGTTCTCTGGTGGATTAACTTGTCACTTTCGAATCTTATTATTAATATAAGATAAATGTTAGTAAATAATACTGCAGTAGAATACATTACTCCCAGCGAAGAAAGATTGAAAGCTATTCGAAGCTATCATTATACAAAAGAAAGAAGCCACGCTAAACATAATATTTCTCACCACAGGAGACAGTATTTTAAAATACGTTTTAAAAAAGTAATGATATCTTCGTCCTCAGAAGCTGCCAAGTTTTGTGACCCCTAACTGATTAATATTAAATAATAATAATAATAATAATAATAAGCAATAAACAAATAAAGGGAACATACGCATGGCATCACATTCCTAAAATGCCAGTATAAAGCTTATACAGACAGACATTGTCAGTCGAATTTAATATAAGCTCCTTGAATGTACATACATACATATATTTCGACTCAGAAATGATTCCGTTCATATTAACTCTGTTCGGCCATGTTGTTCGAGAACCGAAATTTTGTTCGATAACCGAGACATTTTCATCTCGGATTTTCTGTTCGAAAATCGATCTGTTCGACATGTGAGACGTTCGAGAACCGAGGTTCCTAGATAGATAGATAGATAGATAGATAGATAGATAGATAGATAGATAGAAAATGAACAGGCTCAGATAGATAGATAGATAGATAGATAGATAGATAGATAGATAGATAGATAGATAGAAAATGAACAGGCTCAGATAGATAGATAGATAGATAGATAGATAAATAGATAGATAGAAAATGAACAGGCTCAGATAGATAGATAGATAGATAGATAGATAGATAGATATGGATGTATATTTGAAATTGTTTACTTTGACATGTTTCGCCAATAAACTGGAATTATCAGAAAGAGAATCTCATTTGACAAGAATAAAATTTTCATTAACGAGACAAAACGTGATTCACGTGAAACGGCTGAGTGCTTCATTTTTAATTTATAGCAATTTGTTTTTAACTAATTTCGGTTTATGTTTTAATCTATAGAATTGTTATTTCTATTTTTCATTTTATTTTAGATATATTTTAAAGGGAATCAAACTGCATTTGAGCAATAAAAGCCAACATATAAAACGTTCATTCATAATAAAAAGAAAACAATTCATAAAAAAGACAACAAAAATGTATATATATATATTTTAAGACATTTTTCTGTTTATACATTCTTTTTATAGATACAAATATTTAAGTAAATGCTCTGTTTATAATAAACAGTATTAACAACATTTATCGGCTTGAATGTCCGAGGAATTGTCATAGAAAATATGCGCCTTCCGACAAGAATCGAACCTGTATCCTATACGGAACCGTCATATAGCCTGACGTGCTTTTACCGATTTCGCCACAGAGGTACGTTCGGTTAGCAAGGTCGATTTTATTGTTTTTAAAGTACAATTTTCCATGATTTAAGGTGAGATTTATTTAAGATGCCAGATGTTTTATGTAAAGAACCACACTTACAACAAGATGCTTTCAGTAGCGACACCTATAACTTTTATGACATTTTGCTCAGATAAATGACACTTGAAGTGTCTCCTCAATGACGTGGTATTATGATCGATATAGACCTAATTATTTTACGACAAGAGACACAGACTTGTACTGTGCAGTGAAATTGATCGCTAGTTTAGATAATATAGAATAAATATTTTTCAAGTTCATTTCATTAACCATAACTAATAAAGAGTTTGTTCGAATTTGTCCAAGCGCCCCATATTTGTAGCCTTGTGCCGTACTCGAGCTGTCCGTGGTAAAATGATTAAGATTTTTCTATCGCGACATTTCAGTCGTGGCGGAAATTTTGCTGGCAAGCGTCAAATGTCACTTTTAAGATTGTGTCATTTTAATGTAGGATTCGTAATTAAATTAGGAAGGGTGAACGAAATATCTTCATCTGTGAGAAATTTTAGCTTAAAATTAAAAATAAACTCTCCTCACACACACACACACACACACACACACACACTCTCTCTCTCTCTTTCTCTATCTCTCGTCTCTATCTTTTTTTTTCACCCCTGTCTTCCCTCTCTCTTTCTCTATCTCCTCTGTTTCTCTCCCCTCTCTATTTCTCTTCTCACTCTCTCTCTCTCTTGCTCCTCCCTTTCTCTTTCACCCCTCTCTTCCCTTTGTTTTTCTCTATCTCCCCTCTCCCTCTCTCTCTCTCTCTCTCTTTATATATACACTACGCTTTGTTCAAATACGATGTATCCACTATTATAACGGCCATTTTATATATATATATATATATGTGTGTGTGTGTGTGTAAAAATATATAGAAAATAGAAAATAGGAAAGAACTCGTTAGGTAAATAATCCAAAGTTCTTTAGTATTTTTGTTATTATTTTAAAAAAATAGTGCTCGATACAAAAGTAGAGCATAAATATATTTATTTATTTAAAAATATGATTATGCGTTGGAATCATATTTTAAATAAATAATATATATATATATATATATATATATATATATAACATAATTGAATATTGACGTCAACACTTACAGGCGACAAGTTGTTTGATGCCTGACGCAATCGTCAGGCCACGCGTCTAGCATGAAACAGTCTGTCGCCTCTAAGTGTTGACTTCAATGTTCACTTATATATATATATATATATATATATATATATATATAGAGAGAGAGAGAGAGAGAGAGAGAGAGTGTGTGTGTGTGTAACAGCAAAGTTAGTGGTTTTTAGATATTTTAACATTTTGTGTGATGGACAGTTATGCTGTTACACGATTTGGACAATTTTTCTGTTACACTGTATTTTAACAAAAATTCTTCCTTGTGTTTTCTTTCTTTCTTAGCTGAATTCTCTTTTTCATCTTTTGACTTTATCCCAGTTTCCTTTCACCTTTTCTTTTTTCCTTTAAATTCTTTTTTCCTTTTCCTTCATCCTCTCTTTTTATAATTACGTTTCTAATTCTTTCTTTCTTTCTTTCTTTCTTTCACTCAGCATTTTAATCTCCATCGTTTGCCAATTTTTCAGACATTTTTTTTTATTCTTTATGATTTTCATTTTCTTTTCTTTCTTTCTTATTTTTAACTTTTCCTTTTTGGCTTTACTTTCTTTTTTTTTTCTTTCTTTCTCCATTGCTCTTGTTTCTTTTTCTTTCTTTCTAGCTCTCTTTATTTACTTCTTTCTACTTTTTGCTCTTTTTCAATCTAGTTTCTTTCTTTTTAGCTGTTGTTTCTTTCTTTATTTTTACTTATTGTCTTACTTTTCTTCTTTATCTTTTTTGGTTTTCTTTTTTCTATCGTATTCTTCCTTTGTTTATTGCTGAGAACATATTTTTGTTCATTTCAATGTCTTGCTTTCTTTGTTGCTTGAGTTTCTTTCTTTTTTTTTCATCTATTCTTTCCACCTTGATTTCCTCCTTTTTTTCTTTATTCAATTTTTCTTTAGTTATTTCTTTATCTTTTCCTTATTCTTTCTTCTTTCTTTATTGTTATCGTCTCTATTTTTTCTTTTTTTTCTTTCTTATTCACTTTATTTACTTCTTTCTTACTTTCTTCATTTTTATCATTTCTCTCTTCTTTCTTTCTTTTTTCTTTCTTGATTTCTTTACTTCTTTCTTACTTTCTTCATTGTTATCATTTCTCTTTCTCTCTTCTTTCTTTCTTTTTTCTTTCTTTCTTGATTTCTTTACTTCTTTCTTATTTCCTTTATTGTTACCGTTTCTCTTTCTTTTTTCTTTCTTTTTTCTTTCTTTTTTCTTTCTTGCTCGCTTGCTTTACTTCTTTCTTACTTTCTTTATTTTACCGTTTCTCTTTCTTTTTTCTTTCATTCTTTTTTTTCTTGCTTCATTTCTTTGTTTCTTTCTTTCTTTATTGTTATCGCTTCTCTTACTTGCCCGCTTGCTTTACTTCTTTCTTACTTTCTTTATTGCAGTCTTTTCTCTTTGTTTCTTTCTTTTTTTCTCTTTTTTTTTCTCTTTTTCTTTCTCTCTTTCTTTCTTAACCACAAAACAGAATTTACTAAGCTATCTGAAAATAAACGACAACCTAACAGTTCCGGTGTTATTATTTCGTTATGTCAGGGCTTCTATTTTTATTTCAATTTCTTTTCCTGTATATAGGTCAAAAGTGTCTTCAATTTTATCGGTTAATTACTTTCCCTAATTAGGTCTTTACTTTTACGAGGAATGAATAAAGATTGCGAAAACCGATGAAATTATAACAAATGAATGCGTAATTAATTAAAGAAGAGAATAGGGGAAAAGGTAAATGGGAACAAAAGAAGACATGATAGACAAGAAACATCAGAATAAAAACGAAACAAAAAGAAAACATCATACACAAGAAAATGGCGTAAAGGAAAAAAAAGGACGCAGTAATTAAAAACATGTTAGGAGATAAAAGCGAGAGAGAAAGAAAATTTTTTAAAAAAAAGGTCAAGATGCTAAAAACGATAATTCAAAGGAGAATCTATATTAAGAATCAGGGTTCGGATTCCCGGCTTTTATCTAAACAAGGATTACTGATTGCAGATTTAAACCATGATATTTTGATTATTAATTAGATTGTGTTTCTTAGAAATGATTAAAAATATCTTACTGTAATTTTCCGAGGTTTTATAACAGGTAGACTCCACTTTAAACAAGCTTAAGAGAAGAATCTTGATGAAATCGATCATAAACGAAAATCATATGTTCATCATTAATTAATCATAGCTAAGGATCGGAAGCTCGTTAAGAATTGAAATAAAGTTGATACATACACACACACACACACACACACACACACACATATATATATATATATATATATATATATATATATATATATAATTTCAGCCATTTTGCATTTTTCAAATCCGCAATTTTTGAGGCTGTTGGGGTGGGAACGATGAGTCTATTTTCGAAACACTGTCTCTAGTTAGATTGCCTACTGTTGTAGCATACACACGGACAATAATGGCTATGTCACCCATTCACATAAATAGTGAATACTGTATGTTGGTCGGCAGTTGAAGATTCATTGTACTGTGGAATACGCTTGACTCACTTCTAGCAGTTAACTACTTCATCTACGCGCCGCTGGCGAATCTTATATGTGTTGTTCGTGTCTTAAGTATTATCGTTCATTACCAAACTTCGTTTGCTTATTCAGTAACCTTCCCTAGGTTACATCACAAACCAAAACTAAATAATTGCTGTCTGTCCAGTAGTAAAAAAAATGTGATTACGCACTTGCACAACCATCGACATATTCCAAATGACCAGCAATACAATATTATAAGGAAAGGATTAGTAATACATTTCTAAAATAAAATGACCAGCAATCAATTTCTTAAATAAAATGACCAGCAATACAATATTATAATGAAAGGATTAGTAATACATTTCAAAAATAAAATGACCAGCAATCAATTTCTAAAATAAAATGATCAGCAATACATTTTTTATTATAATAAAATGACCAGCAATATATTTTTTATAGCAAAATAATAATCAATACAATGTTAAGACACATAATACATTTTATACTAAAATTACCAATAATACACATCTATAAAAATTGCCATCAATGCATTTTTGTAACGAAATTACTAGCAATAGATTAGTTTTAAATTACTAACAATATATTTTATCATTTGCAAACTATATATATAAAAAAAACATACGTTTACTCTGAAAGTATAAATTTATGCACCAAATATCTGTAGTTGAAGGCATAAAATTGCGTACAAAATATTTAGATTTCAATATTAAATACCCATGGAAGTGTTGATATGCCGCTAAACAAAATTGAACCAACCAAATTCATAAATCACTGCTTTAACCAACAAGCTTATTTTTAATTATTTTTTACTTTCTTACAATGATCTCCATTCTAAGCAAGGCCCAAGAGCCACTCATGGTAGAATTTTTCAGAGTAAGTTACACATCTATGTGGAGAAGAAAAAGGTTGATCCTAGTCTTGAACAGTCTTGAGTCGGTTTCACAGAGAAACGTTTCGAGGGAAGAAGCCACCCGAGTGAAACTAACATCTTACTAATGCAATACGAAAAGAAGAAAAATGGTTCGCTACAATGTACGTGGCATGACGGAAACGCAATAATTTATGGAAGGAAGTTTACACGTTTTATTAAGATGGTTTGAGTCAACTTATGTTATGGCTACCCGCCAATTCTCAATATTTCTGCAAGCTGAGATGTTGACGGTTCCTTGATGAACCAAACAACGATGAGATTCGAACCCAGAACTAATGGTCAGAACGCTTTAATCATCCGACCATGTGATGAATTAGACATAAACATAAATCGATTGATCCGCGTATATATCGACAAGCATTTATCAAACTATGACATTACATAGGTTTTGTAGTCCCTTAAGAATGATAACTGATTTTGATTGAAAAATTGTAGCCTCCTCAATATCAGATATCAAAATACCAACAAATTTTCACCTATGGTATTATCTTTTCTAATTTACCGTTTTATGGCAGACATTTCCGATCTTAAAATATGGTAACATCGTTTTGCTCTTGACACTGTCTTGTGTTTGTTTCTGGATAAGGCTTTACGGCGATCGTCAATATAAGCTTCTCGGGTGAGAAGATGCTACAGCAACCAGGCACATTTCAGCGATTCAACTCACTAGAAAATGAATTTTATGAATAAACATGGTGCGTTCTAAAGCAATAGAAATAAGATGAAAGAAAGACGAGTCATAAATGAATAATAATGACAATGCTTCATCTAAGAAATTCAGACAACTTAAGACTATTACGTCTTATTACGACTACTAGGTGTAAACAAGCAATAGAAATAAGATGAAAGAAAGACGAGTCATAAATGAATAATAATGACAATTCTTCATCTAAGAAATTCAGACAACTTAAGACTATTACGTCTTATTACTACTACTAGGTGTAAACAAGCAATAGAAATAAGATGAAAGAAAGACGAGTCATAAATGAATAATAATGACAATGCTTCATCTAAGAAATTCAGACAACTTAAGACTATTACGTCTTATTACTACTACTAGGTGTAAACAAGCAATAGAAATAAGATGAAAGAAAGACGAGTCATAAATGAATAATAATGACAATGCTTCATCTAAGAAATTCAGACAACTTAAGACTATTACGTCTTATTACTACTACTAGGTGTAAACAAGCAATAGAAATAAGATGAAAGAAAAACGAATGAAAAATGAATAATAATGACAATGCTTCATCTAAGAAATTCAGACAACTTAAGACTATTACGTCTTATTACTACTACTAGGTGTAAACAAGCAATAGAAATAAGATGAAAGAAAGACGTGTCATAAATGAATAATAATGACAATGCTTCATCTAAGAAATTCAGACATTTTAAGATTCTTATTTCTTTATATTTTAATGACTCGTCTCTTCTGGGCCTAGAATTATGTTCCTCCACAGATCCTATTTTTCTATATTATTTATAAATAATCATGACTTCTTATTTTGTTATTTGAAAGAAACGTATGAAACGTTTAGTCCTGGGAAAATAAATAAGTAATATATGCAAAGAGTTAATGTATTCTCAAATAAAGATTATGTTCTATCAACCGAAACACTTAACAATCGGAAATGCTATCCAAAAAGAACTCTATTATCATCAATGAACTTCCTTTTCCTTTGTCTTTTATCTCTTGATACACAGATAAAAGATTACCCTGAAACTGACTGGGAAAAGATATTGTGGAATATAAATATTCTCTTTATCTATTGCTTTTACTATTTTCAAATTACTGGCATGTCGTGTTTAATAAATATTTATTTTTCGCTTCTCCTTTGTTCTTGATTGACTTTAACGCTTGCCTTTGTCGTCAATTATCCCTAGTGTATCTTGTCGGAACTCTAGCTCTTTGACTCAAAGGGAAGTACTCACTTCGATATGCACATCATATATGAAAATAAAAGTTCTTTATTTCGTCTTGACTTCGCACCCTCGGTTCTTGAACGTCTCACATATCGAACAAATCGATTTTCGAAAAGAAAATTCGAGATGAAAATTCCCCGATTATCGAACAAAATTTCGGTTCTCGGACAACATTGCAGAACCGAATTAAGCAGAACAGAATCATTTCTTAGTCGACCACCGTGTTGCATACATTCGTGTGTTGTGCCGTGCTTTTCTTTTCTGATTTTATTGTACTGTGACATTTTTCTCTACATTGATCATTATTGGAAAAAAAAAACTTTCGGTTTACGAACATTTCGGGTTACGAACGGCCTGTATTTACTTCCGTGTATATTACGCATAATATACAGGAATAATTACAACCATCATTATGTCATAGTAAGCTACCTTATACTGCAGAATGAAACGACCGTCTACTGCGGGAAGATCTTCTGTCTGGTCAGACATGAATCGAAAGAGAGTTGACGGGCCCAAGCACATATCATGGATGGCATTTAACTGACTGACTGAAACTACCTTATACGATGGCGTCCGGAGATTTTCTTAATTAAACGAAGCAAAACATCGAAGCGTAAGTTGGGAAGTGGTAGAGGACTTTTCAGCACCCCTAGTAGATAATTAGCTGGATATTATATAAAATATGGAGCTGCTCAATCCTCACCTTTTAGAATTTGAAAAGGTTTAAATGTATTTACGCGGTATCGCGGTAGAAAACTTATTCTCGACTCTGCTGTCTGTTTCCCTCTCACAGACGCAATCTTCTCGCTAGTCGATCGCTATTTCCAGGAAAAATCTTCAAGTGAGCTCCATTTTTTACTTCCACCAGTTCAGGCTTTTACAGCTAAGAGTCTTACACGGGACGTTCTTGCAGGCAGGTTCTACTTTCAGTGGCGGGAGATATGTGACGTTTGCAGTGACGTCATTATAACAATGCAGGCGACTATTTCCATGAACCTTTAATACGGGAGAAGTTTGACTGAATGAATAGCAGAACATGTATCCAAAACGAAAGATGGCTAATAAAGAAGCAAGAAGTACTGAGAACAACAAAAAAACAAGGAATCGTGAAGAGAGTGGTTCGTCCCCACCAGAAAAGAAATGGCTCAAAATGAGAGACAAAGCGATAAACGGGAGGAGAAAGAGAGAGAGAAAGAGAAAAGAGAGACAGAAACAAAGAAAGAAAGAGCCAGAAAGAAAGAGCCAGAAAGAAAGAGCCAGAAAGAAAGACAGAAGGAAAGGGAAATAAATAGAGAGAGAAAAGGGAGAAGAGGGGGAGGAAAAAGCAAGAAATAGAAATAGAGAGAGTAAAAGAGAGATAAAAAAGAGCCTGAAAGAAACTGATAAACAGAAAGAAAGAAAGAAAGAAAGAAAGAAAGAAAGAAAGAAAGAAAGAAAGAAAGAGAAACAGAAGGAGAGAATAAGAGAGAATAAAAGCGAGAAAGCGAAAGAGGGATAAAAAGAGAGATAAAAGAAAAGGAAAGAGTGAAAGAGAAAAGTAAAGAGAGAAAGAGAGAGAGAAAATGAGGGAGAGAGAGAGAAATGATATATTCGGTTCTTATGAAAATGGCTTCACGTTCATGCTCAAAAAACAACTGCAAACAAATACTAAAAATAGATTTGAACACAGAATATTTGAAGCAACACATTCAGCTTATCGTCATATTGGGTAAGTGTAGATAAGCCTTGAATTTCAGACTGAAGAGGACTTCTCTTTAGCCTTGTACCAGACTAAAATGAGGTCATTAATAATTTTCGTGTTTGTGCTTACGTAAGAAATTCTGCAGAAATGTCTAAAGAGGAATTATTTTTCGTTATTTTCAGACCTACCAAGCATTTTGAGGTTAAAGGGTCTGGAAGCTTCAATTTTCCCAGGAGAGAAAGTTGGAATTATTTTGGGATGAATATTAAAGGGAACTTTGTTCTTCAGAAGCATTTAATTCTTAGATAAGGATCTGGAGTCGTTGAGTAAGAATAGATCTTTTCATGAGTGTTTGTAATATTTTGACCTAATAAGGTTCAATCTCATATATATATATATATATATATATATATATATATATAAATCATTTATTCGAAAATTATAACAAAAATATGCTATAAAATGACTACAAAAAATAGTTATTTTGTTTCAACACTGCTGATGTTTTATCAAGTGATGGCGTCGAATGTAGAATAATTTTATAACATTTTATGTTATAATTTTTGAATAAATGATTATATTTGCTCTACTCTGTATTGAGTACACTTTTAAGAATAGTATTTGTTGGTTATTAAAATTCATTCTGTATACTTGGGTATATATATATATATATATATATATATATATATATATATATATATATATATATATATATGGAGAAATATAGTCTTAAGATATGCTATATTTATGGGATAAAGTGCACAATATCAGAGATAGAGCGTGTGTAAATATAAAAGTGAACATAGAAGTCAACACTTAGAGGCGACAGTCTGTTTCCTGCTAGATTCAATCGTCAGGCCACCTATCGGCTTAACGATTGCATCTACCATGAAACAGACTGTCGCCTCCAAGTCTTTACTTTTATGTTCACTTTTATATATATATATATATATATATATATATGATGGGCACTCCCGTCGTTTTCGAGGTATGAGCGTCTTTCAGTGTAGTTTTTCTGTTTATGTCTCGTATGAGACAACAATCCTACACGGGATTTGTAAAAAATCCACACGAAGAGCATACTGAAGGGCTGATCGTCATATGGGCTGATGTATTAGCCCGAGATTAAGTTTTAATTCTTAATTCTCTCAGATGATTGAGACGATCTTTTTCAAAGTTACTTACACCTCGGTAGCAGGTATTTCTCAAGTTTGCTCAGTTTTCAAAAGCAAGTTCGAACTCCTTTATAGGGATGTTTGCAACATTTAAATTGTATTCAAGTTTGTCCTTGAAGCGTAACCAACGACGACCTACATTACGCTTGCCATGAAAAAGCTGGCTATACATAAACTTATTCCAAAAATAAGTAAATAAACTAAGTAAATAATAAACAAGTTAACAAGCCACGCCCACTAAAATAATGAGGTTATAGTGGTTCCAATGAGAGAAAAATGTGTATCTTAAAAAGAAGAGAGGTACCGCAAAGGATTTAGGTTGTAATGTGGATTTTAAAAAAATATTATGCTTTAATTTCCATAATTTTACTACACGTGTTTCTGGTCTCGCGACAGTCTTCAGGTAAAACTATAAACTTTAAAGGAGTGCCCTTTTCCGTGCTGATGCTGCTACATGCCTTACTTCTTGCCTATCTCACACTGCGAATTTTTTCTAAGCTCTATACTAAACATTAAATCTGTTACGAAAAAAGAACTAAACAAAATGAACACAAAACGACCAGCTTTAAAAAGGACTCGTAACTGGAAAACCGAATGAAAAAAGAATGTTAACAACAAATTTTTTTCACACCCAACCCAGTTCTGCGGAATCAGAATCAGCGTTGAGTTTAAGCAAGCGAATGAGCCAATTGGAGTAAAGTCCCATGCAGATTGAAATTTTTCCCACTTGTGACGAATGCAGCTATCGATTTTTTTTGCATGCTAGTTAACATTCGTGTCAGTCAGCTGTTGGTTCTCATGCTGGCCAATAGAATCTTCCTGCCTATTCGTGTCAGCCAGCTATAGGCTCTCACTCTGGCCAGTAGAAAATGGCCGCAAACTACATGAAAACTGCCGTAGAAGCATGAAAAAAAAAACGATTATTTCCACTATCGATGGGATTTGGGAAATACAAAGTCGGTTTTGACCTTCTCGCTAACTTGGAGCATGTGCATGTAAATTTTGGTGCAAATCCGTCGAAAATTGCGGCCGTGCATTCGTTACACACACACACACACACACACACACACACACACATCCTGCCATTTATAGATAGAGATTCCTAAGTATGCCAAGGTTACCTATCAGACCCAACAGGTCTTTATCACTTTGCATAATAATCGTATAATAAATAAACAAATAAAATAAGAATACAAGTTAAATTTAATAAATTTAATTAAATAAAAAAAATTATGTGTAGTATGTAAAATGTTAAGGGAGCAATGGATAGCGGGTCGGATTTTATCATGAGTGGGCGGCTGGAGCCTTTCTGTTGCATAGGAATGAAGTGTCGCTGCCGACGCTTGAGTTTGAACATAGATCACCAGTGAACAAACACAGGAGATCCCATTATTGAATTAAGTAGATCACGTGACCGTAAAGGAAACGCAAATATAGGAAGTTGCATCACGTCTATATTTCTGAGATGAGGTATTATGTTGGCTATTTACATTATTCGGACAATTCGTTCAGGTCTGAATGTCCAAATGAACCCTTTATTTCGCTCACTGGGGTAGATTGTTCTAGTTCCACGTGCCATGTTTAATGGATGTCAGTTATCAGTTATCTCCTGTTAATTTCCCTCTCCAAGTTCTCCACTGCCTTAACCAGGTATTGAACTCACACTCTTTGGGTCTAACCAACGTCTTTATTCACTCTGTCATGTGTCCTTGAGGAAGTCTGTGTATAAATATCTGGATATTATAAACCTAATGTCATCAGCAACTATTTTTATCAGTGCTCATATTGCAATTTTGGCTGTTATCATTGCATGTTTTTACCAGAGCTCATATTGCAATTTTTGTTGTTATTATCGCTTTTCTCTGGTACTCCTTATTACTGGTCCCCATATTGTATTCATTTCTATGCTTGGTCGGCTCAGGAGATTTTTGTGGCTTTATATTTCTAGTCTATCCTCTATACTATACGGATCGCATTTCTAGTCTATCCTCTATTACAATTTGGAGGCACGGTGGCGCGGCTTGAATTGAGGAATCCAAGAGCTGAGTTCGAATTCCAGTCGAATCCATTACATTCACTTACGCACTAATAACCTTGGGAAAGGTATGAATCCACTTCTTCACCCTGTCGCCAGGTAAATAGTAGGACAGACCAGGTTCTATAGCCCGGGATATCAATTGATCTGCCGCAGAAAGAAATGGCACCCTAGAGTCATGTATCAAATGATACATGATCGCCAAAGCGTGTATCACGCATAGCACTGACATAATCTAAAATGTTACCTGTAAATAAAGAAGACATAATAAAAGGCTTTTTACCCCTTCCCATAAGTTAATGTCCTGGTTCCTATATTAAAAAGAGTGGTAGACGTTTTGAAGATAGCTTAAGTCGTGACACTGGTTGATTTAAAATCGCATGCTGCTTACTCCAAGCTGGAGTTGATCGGCTAGAAATGAGACATATAACTTGATGTGTTGACTACCGACACCTCGGATCCGAATTTTGTTCATCTGTAATTATTTTCTTTGTTGCCACTCTAATGGGCGATGTCTCGACAAAAACGCGTAGGAGTAGAGGTCATTGATTTAAAGGAAACGAACGACGTCGAGTTGCTTAATAACAAAATAAAATAAAAACACAAAATCGATTGCGTAAACAAAAAAAAACAAACTATATAAGACTCACTAAACGTTTTTTCAGCAATAATTTAACGCCAACTTGAAGGTTTTGTTATCTATATACGCCAGTTAGTTCCCATCTGAATGGATGTCTATTCATAAACGAGGGAGTGCTGAAAAGATCTCGGCTTATAAAGCATTCCTCAAAAGCTGATCAGGGAGACGAGGTCACTCGCCGGTGGTGATAAGAGGGTCATTCAGAAAAACTTTCAGATTGATACATATAAACGGGAGAAAGAAAGAAAGAAAGAAAGAAAGAAAGAAAGAAAGAAAGAATGAAAGAAAGAAAGACAGACAGACAGACAGACAAGCAGACATGGGACTAAGATAGATAGATAGATAGATAGATAGATAGATATGACAAGACTGAGAACGAAAGAAAGAAAGAAAGAAAGAAAGAAAGAAAGAAAGAAAGAAAGAGTAAGAAAGAAAAACAGAGAGAGGACTGAAATAGATAGATAGATAGATAGATAGATAGATAGATAGATAGATAGATACGAGACTGAGAAAGAAAGATAGACAGACAGACATTGGACTGAGATAGATAGATAGATAGATAGATAGATAGATAGATAGATAGATAGATAGATAGATATGAGAACGAACGAACGAACGAATGAACGAATGAACGAACGAATGAACGAACGAACGAATAAACGAAAGAAAGAAAGAAAGAAAGAAAGAAAGAAAGAAAGAAAAAAAAAAGTAAGAAATAAATACAGAGAAAGGACTGAGATAGATAGATAGATAGATAGATAGATAGATAGATAGATAGATAGATAGATACAGGACTGAGAAAGAAAGTTAGACAGACAAACACGGGTGTGTGTGAGAAGGAAAATCATAGAAATCAAAACTGCATGAAGTTCGCTTAAGTCTTTCAACTGTTTATCACAATACCGAGTTGAGAGCATAACCTATTTTATATATTCTATATAATTTCAGTAAGCGCATTTCTTCCCTAATAGAAATAATTTTTAAACTCTCTCTCTCTCTCTCTCTCCCCATATATATATATATATATATATATATATATATATATATATATATATATATATATATATATATAATAAAATAATAAAATAGCTCAAACACTAATATTCCATGTTTATAATTTATTACATTGAAATCGTAATAACGATCCAATTCATCAGATATACAAATTCAAAAATAAATCGGAAGAAAAACAAAATTTTAGTGAGAGTGTATGTGTGGGAGTGGGAAACAAGTGTGAAAGGGAAATGTCTGAAAGCTCTAGAAAGAAGTGTAACAGAAGAAAGAAGAACATGATGGCCTAAAGGTAAAGGTGGTGTTTAAAATTTAACAGAGAGAAGCTTTAAAGAAAAAAATTAAATAACGGTTTAAATGAGTGAGATACAGAAAAAAATGAATTATTTTTTATGCATAATTCGCTACCGAATCGCTGACCCACATTAAAACTAAAAAGCATACACCGCAAACGCGTGTATACATTCGTGGTGATATGCAAATCCAAAAATGTTTTATACCAAGTAATAATTTACCCTAAAGAAATGTAAATAATAAAAAGTATACATCGGAATTTCCGCTGGCATCTGGAAGCCGGGTTTCTACAATCACAAGCATTCTTTCTCAGACCCTTATGTAAAACACGAAACAGCTCTTTTTAAATATTTATGGGAATTAAAGGATGGAAACTTCACCAGACACATACAATGGGAGATTATTGGTAAATCCCAAACCCGTAATAGCATCAGAAATAGATGTAATTTTTGCCTGGAAGGAAAAATTAAAATAAGTAATCATAAAAATACTACCCAGCTCTTGAACCAAAGAAATAAAATCATAAATGTCGCCATGAAAATGGATTTAAATTATCTTATAAAAAGGATTTTATTTTGTATTTATTTTGCAGTCATACAATTATTTTGCATTATTTCTTGAAAGGTATATGCTTTGATTTATGTGTATGTATATTATTTGTGTATATATGTATGTATGTATATGTGTACATGTGTATATGCGTATATGCATATATGCATATATTTTAAATATGTATATATATGTGTGTCTGTATGCCTATATATATGAGCATGTTTGTATGTGTGTATATATATATATGTATGTCTGAGTGTATTATATATGTATGTATATATGTGTACTATTGTGTATGTATGTATATACATATATATGCATATAATGAGATTTGCATATGTATGTATGTAAGCAAGTGTAAATGGATATAAATCCGACAGAATGAAGAAAAATTCTGAAAAAACAAACAAAAATCCTTAAAATCATTTAAGGATTTTTGTTTGTTTTTTCAGAATTTTTCTTCATATGTATGTATATATAAATTATATATATATATATATATATTATGTGGGTATTTATGTGTGGGTATGTTTATGCATGTGTATATAGATGTTTATATGTATGTATATTTGTACATGTATATATAAAAGTAAGTATATAGGTATACGTATATATGTATGTGTATGCATTGTATATGTGTGTTTGAAAGTATGCGTATATTTGTATATGTTTTAAATGTATATACCACACATACACACACAAATATACGTTGTATTTTTTAATTATGAAGATTAATTAAATATAATTAATTTAAGGTTTTTATATATTATATTATTTATTCTTTTCACTCTTTTTATATATAAGATGATTGTTATTATATTGACGTAGATTAGATGATAAGGATATAATTTTTGATTTAATTTCAATGTATTTCACTAGCTGTCACTTGAAATTAAAAATGTGGCAGATATAAAAATTTATCTTTCAAAATAAATTCATTACCGAATTCTTCGATGATGTGTTAAGTTTTTTTCGTTCTTGATATATATATATATATATATATATATATATATAAAGATATTTTTATGTTTATACATTCTTTTTATAGATACAAATATTTTAGTAAATTCTCTGTTTATAATAAGCAGTATTAATAACATTTACCGGCCTGAATGTCCGAGAAATTTTCATAGAAGATATGCGTCCTCCGACAGGAATTGAACCTGTAGTTTTGCGCCATGTATGGTATCCACATTAATGCCTCAGTACTTCGAGACTATTAAAGAGAACATTTCTCCAGAAGCTATCTTATATATCTGTAAGTCTACCACTCGGTCATACTTTGTTGCTGCCATGGTCCAGTGCCCTATCTATTTACCTTAATCGCCTTTATAATTTCCAAGGAATAATCTGCAATATTATTGGTCCTGATCTGGCTGCTCGGCTCCAGTTACTTTCTCACTGCCGTAAGTTTGCCTCTCTATGTTTTTTTCTAAAAATACTTTCATGGTAATTGTTCGTATGCGGTCTTTGTTATGGTACCTAGTGTCTTTGAATTTAAACGCAGCACTAGACTAGTTGAGCTGACTGAATGTAACCGTAGGTTCTATGCTGACAGTTCCTTCTCTCGCATTTCTCGCTTGTGGAACTCCTTTCCGAGGCGATGCTTTCCGGCGTACAAAAATTTAAATGCAATGTCAATCGCTATCTACTCTCCACCTGATTACTCTCTTCTCTTTCTGTTCCTCATTAATGTTTCTGTTCCTGATTTGTCCATACTCTGTAACCCTCTGTTTTAGTGGCATTACTGCCTTGCTTGGGGTGATACCGATTATAAAGAAATTATTGATGTGCATTGTAGATTGGTCTGTATAATTAAGTACAGGTTGATTAAAAAAGTAACTCCCCATTTTAAAATACTTACAATTTATTTATTAACTAGATATGGATAAGAGATGAAAGCGTTTAACATGTGGTTTCATTCTAAAATTCGATATTTTTTTAAGCATTCAACCCCATGCAACGTCTTATCTGAAAACCTGTAAAAAAAAAAACTCATGTAGGTTAGTGGGGTTTTAGATAGATTTTGTGGAATGGACGATTATCCATTGCTGTTACACGATTTGGATAATTTTGCTGTTACACTAGGTATAATAACAAAATGAAAGGGGAAAAGTAAGAGAAAGGAGGCGATAATGTTCTCTTGCGTTTAACTTTTGCTTCAGAGATATAGAAAACCTTGTCAGTTTTGTATTTTTCATTAGCACCCCTTTAAATAATATGTCGAATTCATACTTATGAATGTTTTATATTTTGTTAAAGTTATTTAACGATACAATAAGGGAAATACCACGCGTAAATTTTAGTTGAACTCCCAAGGAGCTTATTTAGCCTTTAAATTAAGAATTATTATTCATCAGAAAATTCAATATTTAAGTCACAGAAGAACGAGCGGAGAGGATGTATCCCCAATCTAGCAGTGAATATTAAAGATCCATTACCTGATTCCAACCTTGGAACTATAAATTTGTCCCGTGGCTATTCGGGAAGTAAGCTCTTTACAGTCCATAGGCAAAAGATCTTCTTTTTTTTTTTTTTTGAAGCGTTTCACCCCAATCAAGATGGGAAGCCACTAGCACGCAAGGGGTTACAGAGAGTTCGAGCGAGAACAAAGAGGAGTGATAGAGGAAAGGGTGAAGAGAGTGATAGGGGATAGATCAAGGCATCTGGAGACGTCGATTGACATTACATTTGAATAGTTGGGGATTATAGTTATCAGGAAAACAAGAAATGGGGAGGGAGTTCTACAGGCGAGAAGTGTGAGACATGAAGCTATTGGAGTAGAAGAGACGGCTACATTTAACAGTTTCGACAGGGAAAAGGTGAGAGCGAGATGCCAGCCTAGTTGAACGCTTAAATTCATGAAGTCTGGGAACCAGCGAAAGCAGCTCATCGGAGCAATTAACGTAAAAGTATTTGTAAAAAAGACAGAGGGAGGCAACAATTACTTTGCATATCCGTCTTTGTATTTTATCAAGGACCTTGAAACAATTAGAAGAGGAACCAGACCATATATGGCAGCAATACTCCATGAAAGGGTGAATGGTTGATTTGTAGATTTGAAGGATCGATTCCGGGGAGAAAAATTTCCTGGCGCGGCATAGGGAGCCAACTTTCCTAGCGAAGGACGAAGCTATTGACTCAATGTGTTCGTTCCATCTCAGGTCAGCGGACAATGTGAGACCGAGCAGTCGCAAAGAGGTTCTCTCATGGAGTTGAGCGTCAGACATTCTAATGGGAGTCAGGGAACCAGCGAAAGCAGCTCATCGGAGCAGTTACCGTGAAAGTATTTGTAAAAAAGACAGGGGGGGCAACGGCACGTCTGTGAGAGAGCGGCTGCAGACGAGATGCCAGATCAGGGCCAATTACATTGCATATCCGTCTTTGGATTTTATCAAGGATCTTGAGACAATTAGAAGGGGCTCCAGACCATATATGGCAGCAATACTCCATGCAAGGGCGAATTGTTGATTTGATTGATTTTACACCAGATTTCGCTACCAGTTTCACAAATCGCCAAGGAATCGCGTGAACTGATTTCACCAGAAACTCTTGCGGTATGGAAGACATAACTTCTTGTATTTGACGTTGAAGTTCTTCTAAAATCTTGGTTTGATATATTAAACTTGCTTCTTAAATCAACTCCAAATAAAAAGGAACTTCCTGTTAAGTCAGGACTCCTGGCTGGCCACTCATACATAAAATATGGAGTTACTTTTCAATCAACCTGTAGATATGCGGCGACCGTCTTCCAATTCCAATGTTTGGGTTATGGCATTCGTAAGATGCTGTTCTTAGAATTTTTGATCTCAACACAAATATTCAAAACAAAAGGGAATGTATATACGAATGTATACGTATGCATTTGTGACTTTTCGTTTGTGAGGGGTACTGTGCGTGTGCATGTCATTTTGAATGTAGGCGCGCGTGTGAGCCTGCGTGTATAGCTCTATTTCAATGAGTTCTTTGTACCTTTGTACATATAAGCCCGTATGTGTGTGCAAGCCTTTGTGTGAGCATATTTGCGGATTGCGGTTGTAGCCTGCCAGCGTCTCCCTAAAATTGTTTTTCATTTTTTTTTTCAATGAGCTTCGCATGTTATTAATAGCGGTGTCCATTAACAGAAATATGTATGTCAAATACGAACATATCCTTGTAGCTGTGCGTTTCCAAGAACATGGGGTGTCAGACGAAGACATGTCATCATTTCCTAAATTAGATTTTACAGGAACGTAGTGTGATGGCGTCCTTCTTCAGATTTAGAATCAACTGATACATGACATTTTCTTGGTGTCACAAGAGACGTTGTGAAAATTCGTGGGTAAAAGAATTTTTATATTGCTTCCCATAAAGGCTTCATTGTTAAAGAAAAACAATCTCTGAATCTCTGGGACAAAGAGTCATTATTATTTATATTACTGGCCCGGTTATTATTGTCCCCGTCTTTCTTGTTTCGGCCGTTGTGGCCTTCGGCCTTCACCAGATGTTTGTTAATGCGGTTAACCTCCCGGGAATTATGAACTGAGCGCTTTATTTAATCTACAGTCTCGTCTAGATCTTATTTTACGCACTTCTCAAGGAAACTTAGCTCCCTGTGCTGCACCAGGAAATTTTTCTCGCCGGAGTCGATCCCTCAAATTTATAAAGCAACCATTCGCCCTTGCATGGAGTATTGCTGCCATATATGGTTTGAGCCCCTTCTAATTGTCTCAAGGTTCTTGATAATATCCAGAGACAGATATGAAATGTAATTGGACCTGATCTGACATTTCGTCTGCAGTCGCTCTCTCATAGACGTTCCGTCGACTTTATCTGTCTTTTTTACAAATACTTTCATGGTAACTGCTCCGAGGAGCTGCTTTCGCTGGTTCCCAAACTTCGTGACTTTAAGCGTTCTACTAGGCTGGCATCTCGGTTTCACCCTTTCACTGTCGAAACTGTTAAATGTAGCCATCTCTTCTACTCCAATAGCTCCATGTCTTGAACCTCTCGCCTGTGGAACTCCCTCCCCTCTTCTTGTTTCCCTGATAGCTATAATCTCCAACTATTCAAATGTAATGTCAATCGACGTCTCCAGGTGCCCTGATTTATCCCCTATCCTTCTCTTCATCCTTTCCTCTATCACTCCTATTTGCTCTCGCTCCAGCTCTCTGTAACCCCTTGCGTGCTAGTGGCTTCTCGCCTTGCTTGTGGTGAAACGCTTATAAAAAAATAAAAATGAAAGAATAGTTGGGCTGGAAACTATAACAATTGAAAATCTTCAGGCATCTGCACTTAAGAAAGAAATTCAAATGTAATGTCAATCGACGTCTCCAGATGCCCTGATCTATCCCTTAACCTTCTCCTCATCCTTTCCTCTATCACTCCTATTTGCTCTCACTCCAACTCTCTGTAACCCCTTGCATGCTAGTGGCTTCCCTCTTTGCTTGGGGTGATACACTTAAAAAAATGCTAGCCTCGTTTCCAATGAATCCAATGCACACTCCCCGGCCAGGGACTGAACTCGCAATTACTACATCACCACTTTCAGGAAGCAATGTTTTAATCCATAGGCTACAGTCCCACAGAAAATGGAAATCATTCATCACCCATAGGACGCGTTTGAACACTATCAAGGCTGTACATTGAAGACTGGGCAACACCAGTCATAAGTACTCCATATTAAAAGCCTTAAGATGGTGATTGCGAATATGAAACATACCATATGTGGCAGTGATATTCTAAGCATGGACGAAAGGCACTTATGGATATGTAAGATACTGGAAAAGACCCAGAGAGGCAACATTACGGCGATAGGAAAATGACTGAGGCCGAAACTCAAGATTAAGACAAATAATATTGTAAATTCTTTTTTGCATTATATTAAAGATCATAGCAGGAGCACCAGACCATATGTGGCAGCAATATTCTAAGCATGGACGAAAGGCACTTAGAGATATGTCAGATAAATTCTATTTACATTTTTCGGACTATCATCCTCATCTTTGTTGCCATATTTATCACAACGTTTCGGCCGTTGTACGCTCCGCCCTTCTTCCGGTGGTTGGAATGTCGAACTGAACCCTTTATTTCGCTCGCTGGGGTAGACTGTTCTAGTTTCACGTACCATGTCTAATGGATGTTAGTTATCAGTTATCCTCAAGGACACATAGCACAGTGGATAAAGGCGTTAGTTAGTTCCAGTGACAGGACCCAAAGTGTGAGTTCAATACCTGGTTAAGGCGGTGGAGAACTTGAAGAGGGGAATTAACAGGAGATAACTGATAGCTGACATCCATTAGACATGGTACGTGGAACTACAACAGTCTACCCCAGAGAGCGAAATAAAGGGTTCAGTTCGACATTCCAATCACCGGAAGAAGGCCGGAACGTACAACGGCCGAAACGTTGTGATAAATATGGCAACAAAGATGATGATGATAGTCCGAACAATGCAAATTGTGTACATAATACCTCATCTCAGAAATATACACAGATACTGAAGATAAATTCTGGCGATAAAAATTGTCTAGTTCGACACAGTGAACCAACTTTCTTAGCAGCTGACCTAGCAATAGATTCAGTCTTTCCACTTCATGTCAGCCGAGAACGTTAGCCTGAGAAGGTGCAGCAAGTCACGAGGAAGAAAGGCTCTCTCAGATGATTAACAGAAAGCAGTTTTGCTTGGAGACGTTAAAATTAACAAGCCATCCTTTGCCCCAGTTAACAACAGACTGAATGTTGTTTTAGACATCAACCACCAATTCGACCTTATCGAACCGATCAGACTTATTATCGAGACAGGAGTAAATGGTTGTGTCATCAACATAGATAACAAATTGAGAGCTGATGTCATCAGGAAGGTTGTTAATGAAAACTAAAAACAAAATGAGACCAAGGTTTGAACCCTGGGGTCATCCGCATTAGTACAGAAGGATCTAGAAGAGTCGTCATTCGGGACAACTTTCATTTCGCAATTTGATGAGAAATAATCTTTTTCTGCTATAAGGTGTATATATAAGATTCTTTAGATTTTATTCCCGTATGATATGTAGCAACAATATTTCACAAAAACACAGGGAAGCATCTTTACAGCCGTGGGAAAGTGAATAAAGCTGAGATGCCAGCTCAGGACCAATAAGATTGCTGATTCTTCTTTAGATTTTATCTCCGTATCTTATGTAGCAACATGGATAACTGGTAGGAAAAATTGTCTAGCATGACAGTGAACCAACTTTATTAGCAGCAGACCTAGCAATTGACTCAATTGACTCAATTTAGTCTTTCCACTTCATGTCAGTTGAGAATGTTAGCCTGAGAAGGCAGAGCAAATTACTTTCATGAAGGTTAGCATCAGCCATGCTAATTGAAGGCAGAAAGGGGTCTCTCAGGTGATTAATGGAAAGTAGTTTTACTTTGGAGGCATTATAATTAACTAGTCATTCTTTGCTCCAGTCAACAATGGACTTTTTGTGATCAGTTGCCAATTTGATCTTATCGAGGCTGCCATTTTCATCTTACTATTGAGACAAGAGTAAATGGTGTGTCATCAGCATAGATATCAAGTTGAGAGCTGATTCCATCGGGAAAAACATTAATAAAAAAGACAAAGTAAGTCCAAAGATAGAGCCTTGGGTAACATCTCCATTACTTATCTGGAAAAGAGGTCACTCAGGATAACTTCCTTTTCACGATTTGACAAGAAAGTCTGGATCAGTTCCAAAAATTGTCCGAAGACACCGTTTGTTTTTCCTTTTTATTTTATTTTATTTTTTTTTTAAATTTGTGAAGTAGTCCTGTATAGCAAACACTTTTTTTTTTAGCTGGATAGACACTTTACGTAATTATCGTATGTACATCAGCAGATGACATGTAGAAACGAATGCCGTAGAGCTTGTCCGTGAAAAACAGCCACCTTCTTTATCCAGGGCAGCACTACCTCCTCAAGGCCCTTGATATTGACCAGTGTTGAGTCTGAGGTCCTGTGGGAAGGAAAATGGAGGCATAACGTCGCCATCACTAGTGAACACTTCAAAAACCATTGATACCATTACTCAGTTAGCGATATTTTATATTTATATGTATATGCAGGGATACAGATATATATATATATATATATATATATATATATATATATATATATAGATAGATAGATAGATAGATAGATAGATAGGAACAGACTGAAATATATAAATAGATAGGCACAGACTGAGATAGATAGATAGATAGATAGATAGATAGGAACAGACTGAGATAGATAGATAGATAGATAGATAGATAGATAGATAGATAGATAGATATGATCAGTTTGAGATAGATAAATCGTATGGCTTATGTCTGTTAATTGAAGATTTTATGTTCTGTTTCCATACTTTATAAGCCTATGAAGGCCATTTTCAATATGTCTGGTGATTCTCACAGGATTGTCTTTGCTTCTGCTCCGATGTAACGCAAGACAACCTTTTGCATGTTATTTAGAAATTTGCCACCGACATCCGAATAATTCACATACCACGAGAAATGCCATGGCTTGATAGATTGATGATGTGCTATATCTCGAGATAAAATGAATTTTGATACGGCCGAAGAAGAGAGTTCACTTTTGTACCATAAAGATCAAAACGGCTTACTCTAGTAAAAGCTGCTGGATGCCAAAAATATGGTTTTATATTCTCTTTGAATAAGCGTTCTTCTTTCTTCATATGATAAAATATAGACATTAACTTATGCCATACCTACCTGAAAAATGTGCTCGATATATAGACCAGAGTCCATGTAAATATAAGCACTGGGGAGATAGGTATCAACATTGGATGATGACAGGCTTAAATGCATCGATGTTCTGGTGATTGCCATGTGGTTGCGTATACAAACACTGCACATAGATAGATAGATAGATAGATAGATAGATAGATAGATAGATAGATAGATAGATAGATTTATTTTATTCTACATACGGGTGAAAGCACGTGCGGTACCCTTCCCTCACCACCCACCAACTAGGGGTGTTAACACAGATTCGGTGGCTAAGGCAGTACTCTAACCCCTGGTGCTCACAGCAGTTTTTGCCACTGGAAAGGGTATTGTTTTTCAGTGTAGACGTATCAGTGACTCCAATTTTATGCAACTGTAATTCAGATTTTCCAACGTTTTGTTCAATAAAAGCGTTTGTATTTGATAGATAGATAGATAGATAGATAGATAGATAGATAGATATAAATAGGGACATAGATAGATAGATCCATCTCGTGGAGGAGGGTGTGCATAAAAGCCATTATAGAGGTCACCTACTAAGCATCTACATATTACAACACTGCTCTAATATTCCTGCAGCCTTCACAAAGGGTACTCTTCATTGTTCTGTGCGTTGAATATGTCAAAATATGTTACAATATATAGAATATGTTAAAAGTCGTCAAAGGCACAAACACAAGTTGGGCAGTAATGGCGGAGCATGATTTTGGATTCCTATACATCGAAAAATACGGCAGCGTTCATCAACATATATAAAATGAAATAAGATTAAACTTTTATTTGTCTTGTTTCTATCCAGTTTCCAGAAATTACATCCATTCTTCAGGAGATTTTCTTGTAAAATTCGATTTATATTCCAAGATTTTATTTTCCTTAAATTTGTTATTCTTTTTATTTGAATTTGTTCAATATATTACATAAAGAGATCCGACAAAATTTCTCTCTTTCTGATTGTTGAGGGGTTCTCCCCTTTTTACCCAAATGGACTCACCCAGGGTATACATATACTTCTGCTAGTGAATACCCGGGAGAAGAACGAGAAAGAAGGACGAACGAACACGAACCAGAACAAACGTAACGAACAAGAGCCACACTGATCTAGCACGTAGACTGTATATATATATTTTTCTACTAACCCGTATTCCTGGAACTACTAACCTGCATTACCAGTTTGTATTATTACATTAATACATTTATTTTCCTATATTCCTTCTTGGCGTTTATTATTTATTGGTACCGGATTCCATCCCTGAATCCACAACACTGATCTTCGTCAATGATCTTACCGATGTTGTTACTTCCTAACTAGGCATTTATGTAGATGACACTGCCATTTACTCTTGCCTTAGTAGCAAATCTGTCAGATCTGACAAAGTAAACCTGTCAACTACTCTTGAAAAGGATCTGTAATCAGTGGGCAAACTGGGGCAAGAAATGGTTTGTAAATTTCAACGTCTACGAAACAAAATTACTTACAGTTTATCACCACAGAGAATCTGTTCTGCCTCCCTCCAGGATGGCTGATGCTGAACACGAGGAGAGCAACACCCTACGTCTTCTTGGCCACACATTTTCCACTGACATAAAGTGGAGTGATTATATCGAGTCAATTGCTACATCTGCTGCAAGGAAGATTCGATTACTGTGTAGTGCCAAAAGATTTTTTCTTGTCAGAATCCATCTTACGCATTTATAAATCGACCATATGTTCATATCTAGGGAATACTGTCGCCATATCTTGTCTCTTGTCTTATTGAATACTGATGACATATCTTGTCTCTTGACTTATTGAATACTGTTGACATATCTTGTCTCTTGTCTTATTGAATACTGTTGAAATATCTTGTCTCTTGCCTTATTAAATACTGTTGACATATCTTGTCTCTTGACTTATCGAATACTGTTGACATATCTTGTCTCTTGACTTATTGAATACTGTTGACATATCTTGTCTCTTGCCTTATTAAATACTGTTGACATATCTTGTCTCTTGACTTATTGAATACTGTTGACATATCTTGTCTCTTGACTTATTGAATACTGTTGACATATCTGGTCTCTTGCCTTATTAAATACTGTTGACATATCTTGTCTCTTGACTTATAGAATACTGTTGACGTATCTTGTCTCGTAATCCTACTGTAAATCTTGTCAAAATCTAGAGAAGGATTTGCAATACAATCGATCCTGACCAGAAAAATCGTTCTCAGTCTCTTCATCAATGACGTGACTTGTCTTCCCTTTGTCTGTTCGATTATTTTAAAGGTAACTGCTCGGATGAGCTTTTTCCCCCGGTGGCCTGAATACGTGAATTTAAACGTGCTACTAGATTGGCAATTATGTCTCACTGTTGAACTAACTAGATGCAATCGCCACTTCTACTCTAAGTTGTTCGTTTTTTTTTCTAGCACTTTATCGCCTGCGGAAATCCGTTCCTATTTCTTGCTTCCCTGATAACTGCAGTCTTCAGAAATTTGAATGCGACGACAATCGTCATCTTCTGTCTTCTTGAACCATGTTTCTTTTTTGTGTTTTTCTCTATCCTCCCTATTTTCAATCTTCATTTTCTTTCACTTTCAGTCTTCAACTCCCCGCGTCTTAGTGGCATTGTCGCTTTACTCGGGAGTGAAACGATTAAAATATATTACGTTTATAGAAATATGACTGAAATCCTGAACTTTATTGGAGTAAGGTAATTCCCTCTGTTAAACACAATAATGAAATAAGAAAATAGAGGAGCTCAGCCTGCGTGACCGATAAATGTATACGGAGAGTTTTATAGAGTACGGCTCATTATTTTTTTTACTTCTTAGAAGTGTCTTTAGCATCAAACCTTGAACGTGTCTGATCATTAATGAATGTTTGTTTGTTTTTATGACAACTTTACTCGATTCTGGCGAAGTGTTGATTCTTCATGCTTAGTCCGGGAAAACGTTCTTCGGAAGCTTGGAGTTGGTTTCACTTTAGCTGAGGGTAATTTTATCCGGAGATGCAAGAACGAGTTTCGAATGCTTTGCAGAATTTAATTTGAAAAAGAAAAAAAAAAAATAGAAAGAAAGAAAGAAAGAAACAAAGAAAGAAGATGTGTATTTCAAGGACAAAGAAATCTTTAAAAATCTTCAGATCTTGGAAACAAATTAAGTGGTGAAATCTTTGAAGGAAGAAGCAGCAGAAATCACATGTCAACGTGCAGAAAGATTCGAAGAGAATCCCTCAACGCAAACATTGCGGCAGTGCTGGGGATTGGGGTAATTGTGTGCGAGTTGGGCCGGTTATGTAGAACGACTGAATAATACGTTCGTTTTTCATTCGGTGTTCCGTAATTGTGGCCTTGTTTCAAATTAAACTAAGACTAATAAATAAAAAAACTAATTCATTGTTTACAAGCCAGGGGAAAATTCCCAAATTAGGAAAATCGGGACGACATGACGAAAAAAAGAAAGTTGTTATTATTTTCTTACTTGAACACAGAATGAACTCTATTGGATGAAATAAAAATAATATTTATAAAGAGAATACCAAATAAATAAAATAGAAGCAGAGCATTCTTATAGTGATGTCCTTGTGCCAGACGAAACTGAACTAACATACGTCAGTTTTTTTGCGAAAATCAGAATGTTCCCATTTTGAAAGGCCGCAGTTTAGGTAAGCACACATAAACACACACACACAGATACACACACACACACCAGACACACACAAACACACACATACACTCACACACACACAAACAGACACACACAAACAGACACGCACACATACAAACACACAGACAGACACATACATACACTCAGACACAGAGACACACACATATACTGTGTGAGTGTGTGTGTCGATGTGTATGTGTGTATGTGTGTGTGTTTGTGTGTGTGCGTGTATATGTGTGTCTCTGTGTGTGAGAGTATGCGTTTGTCTCTTGTGTGAGTGCATGTGTGTGTTTGTGTGTGTCTGTTTGTGTATCGATGTGGGAGTTTATGTGTGTGTCTGCGGTTTAGATGGTAAATAATCATATAAACAGCTATTTATGCCTGCTACAAACTTACGGACACAAAAAGAGTTCAGCAGATATGCAAAAATAGAGGGGGTGTAAGACAAGGATGCATCTTCTCACCGGACTTATTCAATTTATACAGCGAGGCGATTCTGAGAGAATTAGAAGTCCTAAAAGGAAACATTATTGGAGGCTACATTCTTAACAACATTCAAAATATGCAGATGACACAGTGTTGATAGCAGACACAAGATTTTTTTTTTAAGAAATCTTGTCTAAATTGTTATCAGAATCTTATACATTGGCATAGACGTATGTGGTGTACATCTTCGAAAACACGAGGGAATGGATTTAACTGTTTTTTTTTTTTTATTTTTCAACATATTTATGGTCGTGAATGTTGGCTTGGGAAAAGGTGAGATTTGGAAAAAACCGAGGCATAAGTTTATATTTTCATTAATACTGGATTTTTAATTTAATTTTTTTTTAAATTTTTATTTCTGGGTTACCACATTGACTTTCAGAGGTCAATTACGAATTCTCAACCAAACTCCAACTTTATATTAGCCAATAAAAAAGTCTTATGTATTGATATATAGCTTCAACTGAGGTTTGGATATTGGTCCATACTAAAAGAATCACTACGAATAAACACACGGTTGGCGAACGCAGGTGAAAATGTATCAGAGAAGGCCAAGCACAAGATAATTCGTCATAATAGCAAGATAAAAAAAATGGAACACTAAATCTCGTGGTTGCCTTTAAATGTGTTTTTTATTATCAGTTCGCGTCAAGCAAAGTGATAATGCCACGAAGACTCAAAGGTCGATTGGGGGTGAAAGAGAATGAGAAGAGAGTTGAAGAAACAGGAAGCCCGATCTTAAACTGGAAACAAAACCTCTACTCCTGTTCAAGAACCGGGGTGGGGTGGGGTATAAACCGGACGATAGGCGAACCTATCTACTCCAGTTTTGTTAACGACTGAATAATAATGTTCTTAATTTACATGGATAAAATATTTTGTTAAATATATTGGAAAATTTTGCATCCACATTTGATATAATCTCATCAATTGCTCTTAATCCATTGCTTCATTATAGATTACATAGATTGGACAATTCAGATCCAAATTCAGTTATCTGACTTGCCCCCCCTATCTATCCACAAACAAACACTAGAAATATGTAAGGCATTGGTCATATTTCTAATCACATTATGATAGTCATTGTGACGGTTCCTTGAAAAAAAAAGTTAATTCAAAATTGTCCAGTGTCATCTGGTTCCTTCTTTTTACGGCAACGCTCCTAAACACAAGTCTATGGTTTCTGGGGCTATAGTGGCTTTTAACTGGTTGATCATCCTCCCTATTTTCTTGATTTGACTATTATCTGTTCCCCAGAAAGAAAACTGCAAAACCCCCTACAGAAAGTAAGGAAAACAAGCGAGAAGAAATGACTAACAGAAACTACAAGAAGACAAAATTC